CCTGCTGTCCACAAGGTAAAAAACTAAGGCTGTCACAGATGCACACTAGGGTTTGCAAGTTAAAATTTAATCCTGGTCTTAGACATAGAAGTTATTTTTAAATTTAAGTGACACATGCTGCACAACAAACCCCAGGTTCTAGCTTTCACTCTACTTTTGCAGTTAACTACATGCAGTCAAAATTTAAAAGTGGCAAAGGCTAGCAGATCAAATCCATAACATTTTCAAACAGATGAATTTTATCACTTACAATGCCAAATACAAAAAGTGTATGGGAGAAAGAGTAGATTAATACAGGCATTCCTGTATTTTCATTACTGATGGAGGAATACTCCCCAATTGTGAAAAGCTATTGCCACCATCTCTGGCTTCCAGCAGTATCTGTGACACACCTCCAGAGATGAAACTCCTCCACTCTCCAGATGGAATGCTCGCTTTCCTCCCTACTCTGGCAGCTATCCTTACAAAATCATCTCCACCTCTTCCCCCAACTCCTAGCTCTGCTGCAGCCTAAAAGATGGAGACCTTCTCCAATGTGCCTGGGAGGAACAAGTCACCATTTGTCCATAGGAAGGAGAAATGATGTTCTTTGTGTAATATATTAGGTGAAGTGCAGGTTATAGAGGGTTTCCTGGGAAGCCTTTTATAAGAGTTTGTATTCAGGTTCATGAATAACAGTTTATCAAGCTTAACATTATTAATATTTTGGGCTGGATGATTCTTTGTTGTGGGCTGTCCTGTGCAATGCGGGATGCTTGGCAGCTTCCCTGAACTCTACCCACTAGATGCCAGTAGCACCCCATCCCAGTTGTGACAACCAGACATGTCTCTAGACATTGTCAGATGTTCCTGGGGGGTTGGGGTAGGGGTGGGGACAAAATAAACTCCAGTTCATAAATATGTAATAAAGAATATTTATATTCAAGAAATTGCCTTTAGTAGGTATAAAGAAAGGCTTAAAGAAAATCTATCCAAACATACTCAGTGAAATGAAATAATCTCAAATTTTTGTTAGGGAAAAAATAATTTATAGTGATCCTTTAATTTGGAGGCAATAAGACAGAAGGTTGGAACCTAGGCTTTGAAATCTATGTCGATATATATTGACTAATTACCTATATGATCTTGGCAACCTATTTAATGCCTCTTTCCTTAGGGTCCTTACCTAAAATGTAAGGATAACTAGTAGTATCTATCTATCTCACAGGGTTGTTATGATAATTAAGTGACATAATGCACACAATGTGCTCAGCACAGTACCTGAAATGAGTAAGCCTTCTCCATATCCTTGAACATGTCTCAGGGCGTTCACTCTCGGATGTTCCATGTGCCCTGAACACACTTCTCCCTCCTCTTGGCCTGACTAGTTCCTTCTCATCCTCCAAGTCTCAACTTAAGTAATTCCTCTTAGAAAGGTCTCTCTGTTGGCCGGGCGCGGTGGCTCACACCTGTAATCCCAGCACTTTGTGGGGCCGAGGCAGGCGGATCACGAGGTCAGGGGATTGAGACCATCCTGGCTAACACGGTGAAACCCCGTCTCTACTAAAAATACAAAAAATTGGCTGGGCGTGGTGGCGGGCGCCTGTAGTCCCAGCTACTCGGGAGGCTGAGGCAGGAGAATGGCGTGAACCTGGGAGGCAGAGTTTGCAGTGAGCCGAGATTGTGCCACCGCACTCCAGCCTGGGTGACAGAGCAAGACTCCATCTCAAAAAGAAAAAGAAAGGTCTCTCTGTCTAATCTCCCAACAGCCAATCTCTATTGTGATGATCAGCCATAGCACTGCTAGTAATACTCACCTTATCTTACAACTTTTTATGTTTCCCTTACTGTAAGTTCTATAAAGGCCAGAATCATGTTTGTTTATTCAACACTGTGACCTCAACATCTAGCATGGTGGCTGGCCCAGAGTAGGGGCTCAACAAATGTAACTATATGAAAGAATTAATGAAGGAATGAATATACAAGGCTTTTATTATATTATCATCCTCATCATCAAGGTTTATACCGAGTAGACTTAACTACTCTCCTGTTTTCTAAAAGTATTTACTTTTTAAATTTTAAGATCAAAATGTCACAATAGTATTAACATGTGAAATAATTACAATAGACCATTTGGTTGAGCATCAACAGTCATGCCTGGGGAGCTGTATAAAGCCTAACATTTGCAGGATTACACAGAGCTGGGCAGTCAACCATCCTGGGGGAGTCTCACACTATGAATGACCTGGAAGACCTCATTCTAGGAGAGTGGCCCTGGCAGTTCTCTCTGTCTGTGCCTTGGGAGCCCTGGCTACCACACTGTGGGTGAGACTCAGATCCTCTTCTGGGCCCACTGGGTCAGCCCTCTCTGTACACTCTGGAAGAAGGAATACTAACTTTGTTGCTGGTTCACTAGCAAAGCAATATTTTGTCTTGAAATCAAACCACAGTTAAAGTATATTTGCTTTAAAATAAAGGAAACAATAGTAAATAAATATTCAGAGAGAGAAGACCAATGCAAGCATAGGGCCACTGATACTTGGAACCATGTTGTTAAAATGAAATAATAAAAAGTTAATAATAAATTTTTAACATATTATTTTTCATACTCTGTTAAGGGGGAAAATGGTGAATTGAAAAAGAAATAAATACTGATGACAATCATTTGAACTCTGAGGTGGCCAAAGAGATCCCAAGAGTCATTTAATTTTACCCAGCTATTTCAACTATGTTCAAGTTTTCAAAATATCTGTTTTTAAAAAGTGATTTTTTAAAAAGTCATGGATAATGATGGAAAATGAGGGACACCTGTAGAGCGGAATTTGAGACTGTGACAGACCCTGAAAGCTGATGAAAAATGCTGTTTGACACCAAGATAAGATACTAAAGTGGATCACTAAAGAGATAGCGTGAGTTAGGACCAACCCACGCTATCAGCGCATTCAGTACGTGTTCAGACTAACCTCAAATTAGAAACGTAGCAGACATCATGTATCTGGGCTTTGGCAAAAAGTCTTTGATAAAGAGTCTCATGATATCATTTCAAAAAAGATAGAGAAACATGGGCTGAATGATATTAACAGTTTATTTAAGAGAGATTTCTATGCAACTGAAGAATTGCACAAAATGCAACCGTGTCCATGTGAGAGCATGTTCTAGAGCTTAGCACTGCGCTGCTGTCCTGTGCATTTCTGGCACCTTTAATGGAAATCTTCCAGAACAGAGGCTGGCAAAAAAAAAATTTTCTGTAACCAGATGGCAAATATCTTAGGCTTACATACAGTTTCCCTCACATGTTTTTCTTGAAAAATAAAAATAAAAATTTTACAATCATTCTTAGCTCTAGGGCTGTATAAAACTAGGGCAAGTCATATTTTCCCATGGGACATAGTTTGCCATCTTCTGTCTACGGGTGTGTCAAACTTGAGGACATGAGGGATAATAAATATATTGCTTGACAGAATCAGGATCCATACAGACACCGTGAGGCTTGTGGCACATTAGAACTGGAAGGGACCTGAAACCTGGAGATCATCTGGGCAAAGACCTCCTGATCTATTCACTGGTCAAACTGGGATATCCTGGGATTATGGGCTGGCAAAAATATATAGAAAAAAATGCATAGGCTTCTATTTGAAGTCCCAAACTCCTAATTATATGAGAACAGGGTGGCTGTTTATGACTTGACAGTTGAACCAGTGAAGGATGGCATTTTAGCCAACGGTCAGCCAAATATGGGTCAAGAATGTGATGTGGTTCTAAACTCCAGTATCCAGAATAAGATAGCACCTTTCAACTGCTTGCCCTGGAGTGTCATGGCAGTAGTCACTGTTACAGTATGTGAGGAAGGTTGAAGAAATTGGAGGTGTTTAGACTGGAGGATGCAAATAACAGGATTTTACAAACTGCAGAGCACAATAATGCTATATGAGTCAAGAATGAGCTGGTTCTTATTGTGAGCCTTGACTGGGAGAGCAGGCAGCAGGGGAGAGAAGTTCTGGTGACAGCTGCCCACAGTGCCTATGGCTGCTGGGACACTGGATGGAATGTATTTCAGGTGCTTAATTCTCTCTTTAGGTCAAAAAGTATAAAATATTTGTCAGTAGAAGGGCCTATTCATTATTCCTCAATCAATAGTCCAACATCTCAAGGAAAAGGACGTTTAGGAAAGAAAGCACTATCATTATGACCAGACAAACAGTGTGGTCCCAAATGGAAACTGGGGAACTCCACACCTACACTATGCTTAACTCTTTCTTCCCTTATCTGTCCTAAGTCTAACTTTGCCCTCTGTAGATACAACACATCAACTCCTACTAAATCTGCTTCTTTTTGTTTATGACAACCCTTGAGATATTTGAAGACATAAACTCCCTAAATCTTTGCTGCTTCAGGAAACAGATCACTAACTTCTTCTACAGTTCATTAAATATCACACATGCCATAGTTTCCAGACTGCCACATCCTATGAGATCAATTCATAGTTTAAAAAATTATTTTTGTATGTGTGGTTCCATTTGATCCTGTGGAGGAAGGGAAAGTTTCATTCTCATTCTCTCTCTAGAGAGAGAGATAGGCAGGCAAGTCATCTGAACAAAGTCCAGGAAATTTGCATAACTTGTCCAAGACATAGAGCTATAGGGTGTGAGGTCCAGGATTATTACCAATTCTTTTGAGTTATAAGCCCATGCTCTTCCCTATCCTGTGTTAAAGGCTACACAGCTAAAAGGGACTCAGTGTGGTTTGCAATATGGTAATAGAATCTTCAGCAGCACATACCACAGGGTAAATGTGCTGAATCCTCCTGAATAGAAACAATACAAGGGACAGGAGAGGGGTACAAAATGACCAATGTGGGAATCTTTTCTCCAGTTCAAATCATCTTGGTTCTTTTACCCTCTATTCTTCTATTTCAGTCCATCATGAAATTTGTAGAGCAACTCCCTAAGACATAATAATATTTACCAAATAAAACTTCAGAGATATCAAGTTCATACTGACCCAGAGTCCTTTATACAAACCTGTATTTGAAGCTGGAATTGTGGGTGAACAGTTCTCCTTGGCACATGCTTCCATCATGGTAGTTAAAGTCATGGTAGGCACTTGATGACTGCCTAAGAAAATACAAAGTAGTACATAATATAGAGTCAAATATGCACCTGATGAAAACTGAACCTACAGTTCTAAAGATATGTAAATTAAAGCCATTCATACTACAACTTAGCTGTGTTCCTAAAGTCCTAGGAAGTGAGTATGGAATTCTGAACACAGTTTTGCCTATTGAAGCAATTTTATAAATGGAGAATAGGTTCATAGCCCAACCCACTAAAAGGCTTTTATACCTTTTTTAAGTGGTTGAGATAAAGTATTAATACTGTAGACCTTTACAACCATGTGTAATAACGTTTCTATGGGCAAAGTCATTCAGGGTTCTGACTTGGGATGCCAGGAACGTATTTCCCTCAATGCAGTTAGCAGTCCCTGAGCCCTAAGCCACTGGTCCCTACAGCTGAGGCAGGGACTGCTGCTGGTAGTGGTTCTAATGGTCAGGTACAGGCTCTAGGGAACTAAGGGCATCATATGCCTTGGGGAGCAAGAATCTTCTGCCAGATCTGTGTTCAGGATCTTCTGTTCTTCCATAGTCCCCAGGAATCTATCTGCTTCCTGGCTCACCACCTATTTCCCTGACCCAGAACAGAATAGAAAATAGGCACCCTCCTATTTGTATGAAACAATGTTTCGTTTTTTAAAATGTTTCTGTTAGTAACATATATGAAGTAAAGAGGTTCCTCTCAAACCTATTTTTCATGTAGAGCCATCAAGGGAAATCTTTATGATGGAGAGACAAGGGTGGATCCAGTTGCAGCTACAAAGGTTGTAGCAGTATTGACGTGCATTTCCCAGCAATGCCACACCATGGTTACCCTGACTCTGACTCATCAGCTGAGATGGGGTAGAAGTGGCAAAGGAAAGCTGGAGTTTGGAGGAAACATGAGGAGGCAGAGTGAGGCTGAGAGAGCTAGTGTCCTCCCCAGAAAGGGTCCACATATTTACCTCCATCTCTTGAGGGTGGGCACATCTCCATTAGCCCTGAGTTGAGGGTGGGTGGGTGTTGGGGGGTCAGAAAGTGAGAGGAAAGGAGTATGCCCTGTGGCCATTCCCTTACTTAAAGCATTCCCTTACTTACTGAAGCATCCTGCTAGGCTCCACAGGCCCAGAGCTGAGGCTTGGGAGAACAACTGTCAACTAGAGGACATGGAGATAAATCTGTGGACCCTACAATTGAATGGAGAGAGTGAAGTACAGATTTTTTTAAATGTAATACATTAGAGGAGGAAGAAGTGAATTCTAGGAGGGGGAAAAAAAAACAGAAAGCTTTTTGGAAAAGGATCCATCTAAAGGAGTCATAGGACTTAGATTCATCAAGGTAAGGCAGGGAGCAAAGGGGGTGATTACAGGTGCAATTTGTCTGACAAAAGGCGCAGAGGTCAACAAAGGCATGGACCAGCCAGAGTGACCAGAGCTACCAGCCACTACTTTAAGCCAAGAACCCCACATTCAGTGCAGATCCAAAGGCTGTGAACCAATGAGAGACAGTGAGAGCTGTGGTTGGAATGAATAATTTGGGCAGGCAGAAGAGAGGCTGCAGGTGGGGAAGCTACATGGCGGCTCCTGCAGAATTCTGGGTGAGTGGAAATGAAGGTGAGAAACAGAAGGGTGAGAAACAGGAGAGTGGCCCTGAAAATGGGGAAGAGGGAAAACTATCACCTCCACTTCTCAACACATCCTTCTCTCCAAGTTCACAGACTTTTCTAAGACACCAATTTCCTGATCATTGCTCAAGTGGCAGCTACTTCATCTATCAAGCCAGATTCCTCTGGTCCTACAGGCAGGATCTGTGTTTCCAATGGCATTTGCCAATTACCCATCCTCTACTCTCACAGGACCCTGTGATGGCTTTACCATTCAGCTTTAGAACTCTCAACCTCTCCCCGTTGCTCCCACCAACCGGTTTTCTGATCTTTTCTTCTCATTCGCTAAAGAGTTGCATACTTCTCTCCAAATTTCACTGGCTACACAGGGGTGTTCTCAATAATGTCACTCAATATACATAGTCAACTTTGCAAATAAATAGTGTTCAATACATGAAAGAATAAACTTAGCTCTGTGTATCAATAGAGACAATATATGGCATTAGAAATGAAATTTAAAATATTGTGAAAACAAGGGTGTTTTTCCTAGGGCATCATGTCATGTATAATCTCAATCTATGAAACAAACACTCTTAATCTATGAATAATCAAGGGTTTAACTTTGTTAGCTGTTCCCATATGCTGTGTTTTCATCGTATTTATAAAAGCTTATTTAACAGCATTCTATATGAATGTGCATATATTTTTAACAAAGAGCTTGAAACTTCTGGTCTACTGTTGTCCATTTTGTAAAAAACAAAAAAAGAAAAAAGGCATTTCTCCAAGAAAAATATTTATATTCATAATACAATGACAACCAAGTTACTTTTTAAAGAGCACAAAATATTTACCACTTGATTCATAAGACAATAATTGCTGCACACATTTTGAATTCATAAATTATGATTCAGCTTTAGACTCAATCTGTACTGAGTTACTCAATGTCATCATGCCTCAAATCTAGTAAGTAATTAATGTAATTAATGTGGAGGTTTTGGGAAGCAGACAGTCTATATATATATACACACACATACATACAAACACAGGTCCCTATATTTACACCTGTAAAATTCTGGGAAAAGTAACACTTAAGAAGAACAAGAAAGACAATAACAGAAAATACTTTATGTTCTTGTGAATAAAGAATAATACCTAGGTATAAAATTCAGGACAGTCTCAAGTTTAGTAACTTCCAGTCCACATATATGATGTTTCCATTCTGCGCTTTGATGACTGAGACTTACTAATAGACTTAAATGCCATAATCTAAGAAAGATACTACCATATATCATCAATTTAGTAATTAAGAAATGTTTGTTAAAGGCAAGAGAGAATATCATTTGCCAGGCATCACTAATTAAATCCTAGTTTTAAATTTAATGGTTTGAGGAGAAAGAGTGTCATATTTTGGTTTCCACTCTCTACAACCGATAGTCAACAGAATCACCCAGAGAAACCATTAGCAAAGTGCGGAACTATGATTTCTACCCAGCAAAGCAGGAGAGGAGAAAAAAGAATAATAAACTTCGGAAGCTTAACCAAAACAATACAAGGTAGGAAAGGGGGAAAAACACTTTAGAAAGCTCAATAAATAAAAAAATCAAAATAACACAGAGAGAATAAAGCCTAACACCACAGGAATCACACTGATTATAAATGGATGGTGTCTAACCAGTAGCAACAAAAATAAAGAGAGTATAGAAATTCTGCAAGTCACACACTGATAGATTTGGCCCATTAAACTCAGTATTTTGAGCATGTCTTCTTTGTTTTGCTCAATATTTTGAGCAAATTTCTTATGATCTGGTGGTTTCAAATCAAAGCATTTATCATTTTCAATTATTTAAGTATAATATTATATACTATGATCAAATATGTATGGAATAATGATTGTGAAGGATGCTAGCTGTTACTTTTGGGGAGACAGGGAAACAGAGGAAGAAAAGATTTTTAAAGTTATTATCCTGCACTGAAGTTGTTGACTATCTTTTGGATAGGGGGGGGTGTCCTCAGCTTTATTGAAACTTTTTTTTTTTTTTTTTTTGAGACAGAGTCTTGCTCTGTCGCCCAGGCTGGAGTGCAGTGGCCGGATCTCAGTTCACTGCAAGCTCCGCCTACAGGGTTTACGCCATTCTCCTGCCTCAGCCTCCCAAGTAGCTGGGACTACAGGCGCCTGCCACCTCACCCAGCTAGTTTTTTTGTATTTTTTAGTAGAGACGGGGTTTCACCGGGTTAGCCAGGATGGTCTCGATCTCCTGACCTTGTGATCCGCCCGTCTCGGCCTCCCAAAGTGCTGGGATTACAGGCTTGAGCCACCGCGCCCAGCCTATTGAAACTTTTTACTGACACTGAGCTAGGATGATGTTTCTCGTGTATTTCCCTGTACACGCTCACAGCTAATATACAGCCTAAGAGTATTTCACATTCCTGACTCTTAGTAGTAAACAAACATATTCTCAAAGGAATAAAAGAAAACATTTCCTCCATTCAGGTTTATCTGTAAACATATTCTCAAAGGAATAAAAGAAAACATTTCCTCCATTCGTGTTTATCTGTAATCCTGTTAACAAGCTACACACAAGTCATATCTGCCATCAGAGAAACCTCATTTAGTGGTAATAGCAATACCTGTAACAGGAGTTCGGTTTTTCAGCCTATCAACTTCCATAGTGAAGTCATCCTTCAAAAAAAGGAACCCAATAATGGAAAACAGGTAGACGAGGATGAGAGCCAGGACTGCAGTTAGAATAATAGAGCGGCCATTTCGTGTGACACTTTTTATGACATTCAGCAGAGTCTCTTCTCTGTACACCAAATCAAAAAGCTACAAAGATAAAGAAAACACTAATAAGAAAAGAAGGCATTGGAGGAAAAGGTGAACAAACATAAATATAATTACAAATACAAATGCAAACCATTCTAGTTTATATATAAAGAAATAACCTAAACCACCTTAAAATGAACCAAAGTATTTATTTCTTCTCCAGCTAGAATATATTAATAAACTGTTTTTCTATAAAGATACATATAGCACAACATATAATGTGCATCTGTGGGTTTCATAACCAACATAATATCAATTTACTAAAACATTATAGAAATAGCTTAGTTTTACATTTGAATTCAGAAAAGTTATATTGTACTTTACCAACTGAGCTACTTATTCTTTATTTTTGGTCTTACTGATATTCTGCAGTTACTTCTGCAATATGTAAAATGGCTTAAGTGAGAATGCGAATTAGGTCCTCGTAAGTGATGAATAATTGAGAAATTCATTAAGTGTATTATTTAATCAAGGGATTAGAGGTGAAATTGTAAGAACAGTTTCATGAGTCTGATGCAGTGGGAAAAGTATGAAATTTAAAAATATTTGGAGAATGCAAACATCCTTCCTTAGTAACAGGGTATAATGAGGAAAAAACCTATTACTTTAGTATATACTTGGAAATGGAAGTAGAAACAAAAATATAATATGTAATTTTGCTAATTGACTTTCTCTAATAGGTTACTACCTATTTTGTCTTCAGTAATAGAAAATCTACGCACTAGTCAAGCTCTGTGTTTGCAATCTGTAGTAGACACTAAGGACAATTTAATTTATTGCTACATTATAAAGTTGAAATTATACATTAGAAAGTACATGTTTATTATTAAAATCTGGTTAAATGCAATAAAATCACATTCACTTTTAGAAAGGTATAAATATCTGTTTGGAAATGAATAGTATTTTAAAAATTGGAATAATTGGAGTTTGTCTTCTATCTGTGGGCAGTAATTAGAGTTTCTGAACTGGCTGAAATGATCAATTATGTGTCATATACCCTTTCAGGGCTTTGGTCTATTTTTTTTCTGAGTACTGAGGGTTATACAGTTACTGTCCAATTTAATTGTAGTCTTGCAAATAATTGCTGTCTAGATATTAACTTGTTTGCTCACCTTAGGAAACTGCTATTTTATGATGGTTAATTTTTTTTAAAGTCTACTTTGCTATCTATTTACCTCCTGGAAGGAGCAGTCAGCTTTAGAAATAAAGTCAATATTCTTCAGTACAGACAAATTAACTAATGCACATTCAAATTCCAAATTGTCAACATTGTGGCTTATTAAATTTAAGCAGAAAGTTGACATAGTCGAGATTTTTCTTTAAGTTAACTCAGCAGAGGTTTAAAGAAAAAAAAATCTGGCAATGTGCTGTAGTTCAGCTCTAGAGAAGGTTTATAGCTTTCAGAAGCTCCTGGGATGCTTGCTAAAAATGCATATGCCTGGGTTCCATTCTAGGCCCATGGAATCAGAATCTTACAAAAGCTGTTGACATTGGGCAGGCTGATTGTTCTTTCCATTTATTTCTGAAAACAAAATCTAGAGTGTGGTTTTTATTATTCTGGATAAAGGAATTACAATTTTGGGTACAACAGGGAATTAATATTCACATATTTTTCAAATATAAAAAATCTTTAAAAATATGCTTACATATGATTTTTGGTATTATGTATATTACAATTTTCTTCTAGTACTCTAAACATCAAAATAGACTATATCCTTTTCAGAACCAACCCAATAAGAACAAACTAGCATCAATACTGTAAGATTTGAAAGATAAAAGACCAGAGGAAAATACAATTAGAAAATGGGGTTAATAAAAACATAAACATGAGTACATAATTTCACATGTTTTTCATATTATCTGATATGGTTTGGCTCTGTGTCTCCACCCAAATTTCATCTCGAATTGTGTCAGGGGAAGGACCTGGTTGGAAGTGACTGGATCATGGGGGTGATTTCCCTCATGCTGTTCTTGAGATGGTGAGGGAGTCCTCTGGAGATCTGATGGTTTTTAAAGTGGCAGTTTCCCCTGTGCTCTTCTCTCTTTCTTTTGCCACCATGTAAGACATGCCTTGCTTCCCCTTCAACTTCCACCATGATTGTAAGTTTCCTGAGGCCTCCCCAGCCATGTGGAACTGTGAATCCATTAAAACTCTTTTGTTTATAAATTACTCGGTCTCAGGTAGTATCTTCATAGCCATGTGAGAATGGACTAACACATTCTCTGTTTAATGGATCTTGATATTCCTAGTCTCCCATACTATCCCTATCCATTTTATAAACAAGAAAGTTGAGCACAAAAGTATTATAAATTCATCAAATCCTATACATTAAATGGGTATAGCTTTCTGTATGTCAATCATACTTTAGTAAAGTGGTTTAAAAATTATAGAATATTACGTGTCAGTCAGGTAAAAGTGCTGGGTATAATAGGACTTTTTATATCACAAAAAGGTTAAAAAATGAACTTTTTCTGGTGAATCAGGGCAAAAAGAATTCATTTAGATTGTTAGAACAGAAAAAATATCTACTAATGAATAATCTAACTTAACTGCCTATAAGTTTATATGAAAATACAATAGACAAATCTACTCTTCACTGTGGCTCTTTCAAATGTTTGAGGGTATATGGAAAATTGGCCTCATTTCAGTCTTCTCAAATGGGTGTGCTAGATAATAGGGAGGCAGGAGGTGCTGGATTTGTCCCTCATGACTCAGCCAAATTTTTCAACAAAGTGTTTTTAGATCTTTAACTTGTTTTCAGGGATCATCTCATTGGACAATGCTCTCCACTGCATGCCAACTATGAACTGGAAAGATAAATAAATTGTTCCTATAGCATCATGATGGTAACCTGGTAGTGCTTTTTAAGTTTCAAAATATTATCACATATGTGTATTGACTCCTCTCCTGGTTTATGGCTATAAACCAGTACATATGTAGGAAGGTAAATCAGAATTTTTTTAAAAAGCAACCTTTAGAAAAAAAATCTGAAAGAGCTACTTAATGAGTTAAATATATGTAGATAAGTTTAACAGCAATGACATATTAAACCGAAAACTAAAAGACTGTTCTTAAAACAACTGTCTTTTTGCTATGATTTTTTTTAATTCCCCTCATTTTACTTACATGCCATTCTAAAGGTACACACAATTCTTGATATTATAAATAAAATACAGTGATTTCAGTACCGAAGAAAATATACTCCTATTTTGTCTCCCACACTCTGTAGGAGAATCTTTAAATGTAAAGGGAAATATTAGTTGGCTGAAAGCAAAAGCAGCCCTTGTCATGTGAAGCCTGGGTCAAGAGGTGGGGTGACTGGTTGCTTCTCAGAGAGGAAATAAAGAACTCCACCACCTGTGTGGTTTCCCAAAGAAAAAAAGACTACGAATGATAATAATTCACGCTTTTCCTAGGAAATTCTAAAAATAACATAATTTGTCCTAAATGTCAGGCTTTGCTTAAAAAAAAATCAAAGGAAGAGGCATAAGAAGCAGCAGCATTGTGTACTTTTTCAGCAGTGATTGTCCACATAGCGATGTACTCACCAGGAAGCTATAGAAGAATTCATGGACAAAAAGGCCCAGCATGCAAACCAGGACATACGCCACGTGATAGAGAAAGGCCATATCCAGGATGACTGCTCGGTACCCACGGGTGAACGTGCCACGATTTCCAACAAAACTCACCAGAAATACAATTTTATTACAAAGCTAAAGGGAGGAAAGGATTAGAGATTACTGTCTTATTTATCCTGAAACTCACATGAATGAAAACTATTATTCATGAAGTCCATGACTTTTTGACATGGATGAAACTACTATTCATTAAAATCTATGAGTTTTTGACACGGATGAAAACTATTATTCATAAAGTCCATGACTTTTTTCATAATTTCTCATTTTATAGTTCTTCAGTATTGCTTACAAATTGGCAGGTAAACATTATACATGCAAAACTTGCATCCTTTGCAGCTTCAGGAAGAGAGAGAATGATAAGACACTATGCAATCAAGACAGGTCTGGATTTAAATCTTGGCTCTTCCATTACTGTTGTATGACCTAGTCCATGCAGTTGAAGGACTTAATGGTTTATTCTGAAAAACTGAAATAAAAGAATTTCCACCTCATAGAACCCCTCAGATGATTAAATGATGTAATACGTATGAAGTCCTTAATACAATGACTCCTAAAAATATTACTTTTATTATATTTTATAGTAACTGTAATATGTAAAATGTTTTTATTATGCTGTAAATATAACAGAAAAATATCTTTTCAGAAAATATCCAGAGAGCTGTTCTTGATTTTGTGTTTTCATTCTGGACTTTGTCTACTGAGTAGTATTTTAAATAAGTAAGTGATTAAAATTATTTTTGCATTTAATTTACTTTATATACATAGAAAATATAAATATACTTACATACCTGAGTCAAATTAATGTATGTATATATTTTCTAAGCCCTATGTGTGATAATAATTCAATAAACATTTTGGAGTGTTTATTACACTTCTGACCATGTACAGTATTTATATTCAAACCACATTTTATATTGCCTTTTGTGGCATAATTTTGGAATGCAGAAATTTATACTGAGATCCTTTGGCAATAATAACGATGTGTGTGCACTGATTTATAAACTTAGCACCATCTATTTAGTTCTAGAATCACTGCAGTAATTATAAACCAAAGAGCCAATTTTGTGTCTTAGTCATCAAGGAAAGAATTACAGATTTCAAGGGTTTACAGTTTGCTCTTCTTAATTGTTCCGAGTTCTTTAGGTTATCTAATGGAACCATATTTGTCCTTAAATGTCCAGTCCTAACTTTGGAAAAACAGGTTGCTCTTTGCAACATTGTTGATTTGTTCAATATATATTAACAAATTATGAGGAATGATTTTTAAATAACACAAGAAGGACCATAACACTTTGAAGTAGATGCAAAATTCGGGGGATTGGAAAACCTTTTCCTTTCCATTTCTGAAGTTCAAATCAGTACAGATGAAGTGAGAAATGGGTTACTACTACATGTTTTGAAGAGCCAACCAAATTAACATAGCAACTAAAAAGGCCAAAACTTTCCTAAATTTCTCCCCTGCTGATTAAGCATCCTCTCAATAATCAATGTTGTTACTTCATTCATGTCTTACTTCACTGTTTAGTATTTCATCATCAATATTTTATGCTATTATTAAGGATAGCTGTAGCAGAATGGATGCCTTTATATTTTCAGCCCAAGAGCAGGTTTAATATTATAAGAACTTATTATTTTAAAACCCAGGAAATATATAAAAATGCTAATCTATATGACATATTTAACAATAAACACCCCTGAAAATGGTGAAAAAGAGTGTCCAGAAGAAGAATACTCAGTAGTTATTTAAATTGTTTTGAATGCCCATTATTATTTAAATTTGTACTATTTACCTTGATTCACCCACCAGAGTTCAATATGAAATAGAAATAAGTTGTATAAAAATAAAATTAATAAATGGAGTCATGAATTTTCAGAAAGATGAATATGTTTAAGACACATTGTTTATATGATCTCTAATTCTCTAAATGAAATCATAAAAATGATGCAGAAAAACTATTTATAAGCTCCATATACTGAGGAAAAAAATACACTGATTTTAAATTATCAAAAAGAACAATACGTTTCATTTCTCAAATAATGCAAAAACAAGGCTACATTTCTTCCTAAAAGAGACTCCACCATTTTCACCTGAAAAATAAAGATTTGCCTTATTTGTTTTCAGGTTTTGTTTTTTGTTTTATTTTTGAACCTTGATCTAGAGCTTGACGAATAGATTCCTGTTCTCTTCACTAAGTCTTGACGTGGAGTGGAGTTGATACTGACAGTGGCGTCTACCTATTTCTGCTGAGATCAAAAACAGGGAACTTGGTGTCCTTTTGTTTTAAAGTGTTCATGTGAAGGGGAAATATGTGCAGGAATAAATGATTTGGGTGGGAAAGAAGTTGAACTGTGAATTCTCCTTTCTTCATGAAATTTACAAATTGTTTTCATACAGAATTTTCCATGAAAGTTTGGAATATTTATGCCAACAATGAGCAAGTTGCTAAAACAGTTTCCCTTTTCATGTCATTAAAAAGTGGACATTGTCTAACCAGTTCTTCATTTGCCAGTGCCATTATAGCAAGGGTCCATGTGGGTGACGAAAAGTGGATGGTGTGCCCAGGAAACTGGGCAAGATGGTCACAAGGCTCTTCTGAGCTGGTGCTAAGAGGTTCCTCAAGTCAACACACAAATGTCAATTTGAAGGACCATAACTGTCCTATATATATATATTTTCTTACTCTGTCTATTATTCAAAGCCATCCCTGATACAGTTTTTGTTGGGGATGAGGTGAATTGTGTGATGGTGGGGAAAGGGATGGAATTGAAACAGCATCAATGCAAGCTTTGGGACAGTTTTTAAAAAATGATAATACACCATCCAAATGATTTACCAATAGGTCTTCTGAAAAAAAAAAGCAAAATTAATGTTTGTTTAATTAATATATACTAAAGTAAGTTCATTACATTAATTTAAATTTACTTAAATTACCTATTTGTGAATTATGAAATCATTACTAATTATTTACTAAACAACTAAATTACTTACTAATTATTTACTAAATAATTAATATATTTAATTAATTTAACTAGTTAACAATATAGTAATTAATTAGTAAATAATTTAACTAATTAAACTATAAAGTATATATGAAAATACTACTTATTTAACCAATAATGTAACGATTATTACCGAATAATAATAAAATGCTACTTTATTGAATAATTTAATTATTTAATTAGATACTTTATCAGTTAAATAAGTTATTCAAGAAAGTAGTGTTTTCATATATACTTTATAGTTATTGATATGTCTTTGCAGGACTTTTAACAGTACAGTATAGTGGAAAGACACTGAATTCGAAGGCGGGTCGTCTGGTTCCAGTCTTGGCTCTGCCACTAATTTCTTGCTTTGGTAAATCCTCCTGGTGTCTATAGGACTTTGTTTTCTCATATCTAAAATGAAATGCCTAGAAGGGAATAATCCTTAAGCTCCCTCATAGCTGTAGAATTCTGTGTGATATCCTTTACATGTTACTATTTTACTTGATCACAGACATTTATAGCTGCTTTATCTTTGTCTTTACCTTATTCATTTGGTGTTATTTGGTACTCCGTCCCTGATCAAGAATTCTATCCCCATCTTACATTGTTCCTATGGGAAACCATGACCTATTTTTTAGGAATAAATCATATAAGAAAAAGATTGTCTACTTATTTATTGAAAGGTAAAACTGAATTTATGATTTTCAACTCAATTACCATATTTTCATCAACCATGTAAGTTAAACTTCTTACTAAAAATGAGATGGTTTGATTCAAAAATCTCCATTTCAGGGGCATTACATCTAAGGCAGGACAAGGTTCTAAGATCAATGTGTAAGGCAAAATTTGCATGCAGTCAAAATCACCCTGGAAATCTCTTAAATTGCTGACAAAACAGAACAGTAAGCACAGGTCATGTAAATGGTAGTGTCTCTTACTAAATTCAGCTCATCCTACTTTAACCCCAACACTGCAGCAGTTTTCTGTTTCTGCAACTAGAAGTAGTTAGGAGCATTCAGTGACCATATTATGTGAAAAAGAGTGTGTGTGTGTCTGTGTGTGTGGAGAGAGAGACAGAGAGACAGAGAGAGAGAGAGAGAGAGAGATAAAATGAAAGTTGTTTATTCTGAATATATCATTGAATTTGTGTAAGTTAAATGAACGTACGGTGGAACTCAACCTCACAAATTAGCAGTAACATGAGGCCTCCCAGAAAGCTATCTACAGGTAAGTAACTAGGTACATTACCCTATTAAATCTGAACACAGTGGCTCATTGTTAGTAGACTAGTTATCTGCTAAGCTCCATTTGCTGCTTCTCTCTGCAAATGGTGAGACCAAGTTATTAAATGAATTATACATTTCCAGGTACTATTAGAAAGGAAAAATCATTGTAGATAAGAAGTTTAGAAGATATTAAAAGATCTTTTGCTGATATTTTACTACATTGTTATTTATTTAAAAGTCTGAACAACAAAAATTAATGGAGTGGTTAAACAGATTATATAACACCCATATGACTGGAAATAACAGTTATTAAAATGAGATTTACAAATAATTTTAACAGCATGAAAAAATATTAAGTGACCCCGAATTTATAAAATGTGTGCTTATATTTGTCAGAATAATATATTAATTTCCATTACCAATAACCAACAATGCAGTGCAGAGGGAACAAAACTAGACTGGGTTATAAGATATGCTTTATAACTGAGAAAAAAACACTTGGATTTTTTGAAATATCTCGAATATTGAGATCACTTCTGTGACAAGGCAAACTAGTTGAAATCTAGAGCAACTGCTAGTTTTAGAAATGAATGAAGACAATAAAAAAGAAGCCAGTACTAAGTGGTTGAGTAACATAACACAGGTTGAGGATTTTCCTCCCTCTTGATTCCTTTTCCAAAAATAAGACTTTCTGCATTGGCTTAACATTGTGAAAGACAGAGTCCAGAAAAAACTCCCCGAGAACCAAAACACAAATGTTTTTACAATCAGAATAAGAATGTTTTACAATGAAAGGGTGCTTCATCTATTATTACAGATAGTTGGTAAACAGCTGCTATTGTTACTATTCTATCATTATCACCGTTACTAATCTTTTCTAAATCTTTTCAACTCACCTTCTCAACAACCCAGTGAAGACAGATCAGGCTTTAGCATCTTCCCTTCACTAATGAGAAGAATGAAATTCAAAGTCTTGCTGATTTGCCTAAAGTCTAGAACTCGGATGGTCATTAAGGCAAAACTGTCAGGTAAATGTCTTCTTCTGTTTTTCTTATTTCTGATACCTATACTTTTAGCATTTATAGTTTCACCCCTTACACAATGCAAACTTTTAAGTGTAAATAAATTAAGTTAATAACTGTACTAAAACTTAAGGTACAAAATATGACTAATTGATGTTTTCATGTATTTCTTTCCTACCTCCTGGGTAATAATAAACCATAGATAGCTTTGTAGTGAACTTGTTTTTTGGTTTTTGTTTTTTCCTTTTTGAGATGGAGTCTCGCTCTGTTGCGCAGGCTGGAGTGCAATGGCACGATCTCGGCTCACTGCAACCTCCACCTCCTGGGTTCAAGTGATTCTCCTGCCTCAGCCTCCTGAGTAGCTGGTATTACAGGCACAAGCCACCATGACCAGCTAATTTTTGTTTTGTTTTGTTTTGTTTTTGAAACAGAATCCCATTTTGTCACCCAGGCTGTAGTGCAGTGGCCTGATGTCAGCTCAGTGCAACTTCTACCTCCCGGGTTCAAGGGATTCTCTGGCCTCAGCCTCCCGAGTAGCTGGGACTACAGGTGTGCACCACCACGCCATACTAATTTTTATATTTTAGTAGAGACAGGGTTTCACGATGTTGGCCAGGTTGGTCACAAACTCCTGACCTTGCGTGATCCGCCCACCTCAGCCTCTCAAAGTGCTGGGATGACAGGCATCAGCCACTATGCCCAGCAGTGAACTTGTTATGTTAAAATGAAGGTAGATGATACTCACTAAAACATTTTTATTTTATTTTTTGTAGAGATGAGGTCTCACTATGTTGACCACGCTGGTCTCGAACTCCTGTCTTCAAGCAATCCTCCTGCCTCAGCCTCCCAAAGTATTGGGATTACAGGCATGAGCCATAGCACCCAACCTAAAACATTTTTATTAATCCACATAATATTAAACTTATAGATAAAATTTTTTCTATCTATATCTACAATATAAAAATGACAATTATTCCATTGAATGTGTTTATCCCAAATTAAAGTTGATTTTTTTTTTTTTTTTTGGTCAAAATACTCTGAGCAGCCAGACACAGTGGCTCATGCATGCAATCCCAGCACTTTGGGAGGCCAAGGCAGGTGGATCATGAGGTCAGAAGATCAAGACCGTCCTGGCTAACACGGTGAAACCTCGTCTCCACTAAAAATACAAAAAAGTAGCCAGGTGTGGTGGCACGCACCTGTAGTCCCAGCTACTCAGGAGGCTGAGGCAGGAAAATTGCTTGAACTGGGAGGTGGAGGTTGCAGTGAGCCGAGATCACGCCACTGCACTCCAGCCTGAGCGACAGAGTGAGACTCTGTCTAAAAAAGAAAAAAAAAAATGCTCTGAGTTGGTAGACCATAATGTATCATTTGATTGTGCAAACAGATGTTCTATTCTGTGAAGGTCATTAGAGTCCCCAGATTTCTACAGTTAATAAGGGAGAGATGTGGCATATCTACATGTATATTCTTTCTCACAAATAAAGTGAAATATAAAACTTGCCTCTTCTATGAAGAGTCATTTGCTATAGCGGAATTATTTTCACCAAACCTGGCAAAAGCTATCTTCTTATCTTCTCCCATGAGGGGGAAAAATACACCAAATGTCTTTGGTTTCCCCTAATAGACATTAGAATGTTATTCCTTATCTCTTTATATATTCTTGGTCCAAAAACAAAGGAAATGCAAATCGGTGAGTATGACACATCAGCTTCTGGATGGCAAGAACCATTTCCTTTATCGTCTTGGTATTTTTAGTGTCTATTATATAACAGAGGCCCAGTAAATGATTATTATTTTTGGCTCAACTCTAGCTATTATTTCACTTTGTCAGACTCATATTTTTTTTTCACTTGGATTTATGTCTTCTTGAGGGCCAGTTACCAGTTTACAAATATTATTTGCTTCTTCAAATAATATAGTTCAATATGCAATGTATGTTTTTAAAGAAAAAAAAAGTCAAACACATAGGCTTAGAAAAATTTAGACAAATTCATGAAGATTCTCTAATTTGCTTGTTTGGTAATATGTGAAATTAGCTTATTTCCAAGGCATTGAAGGTACATGTTCAGTTCATGTAAACACCTTCTGAATGTTTCAATGCCAGCTGTTAAAGCAGAGAAACACGGAGCTGGGAAGGAGTAAGGCAGGTAGGATTACATTTATAAATGTGACAACTTCTCCCCTCAAGAAACTTACAGAATAATATATTTGGAATTTTACAAAATTCTTTACTGATAGACTTCTTTGTATGTATAGTACACTTCCCTTCATTGACAATGATTGAGGATAATTGGCAATTTGGTTGCCTGAATGTTGTAGCTAATTGGAAGCTGTCAAATATATCATGTCTAATTTTTGAAGAATTGTAATAAAATAGAGGTCAGAAACACAGAAACATAGAATTGGCCATATTAGCTCAGCTTTATAATTCTTGAAAGTTTGGTTGACTATTTTATTAATTCATTTAAATAAATAAATAAATATAATAAATACATTTTATTAATTAAATATTTGCTAAATATTAGTTATTATTAAATCTTTGCTAAATATTAAATATTTATTACTAAATAAATATTTGCTATATATTTTACTTGCAAGCCACTGTAAATATATAAGAATACAAAGATAATTGTTCATCTATTCATTCACTCACTCATTAATTTATTTATTTAGGAAATATTTACTGAGCACCTATAATGTTCTTGATATTGAATGATCAATCCTTAAATATAGTAAAATGTAGTAGGGGAGATTAGTCCTAATTACAGATACCAGAATATAGGACATTACATTGGAAACCCAGGAAAAGATCAAAAGTGCCTAGGTATTCAACATATAGATTAGCAATACTTATTTTCTTACCTGGCCGTTTGTTATTTCATCAGCCTGATGGTTTTACCTTTTAATATCCCTGTATGGCTGTGCCATGCATAACGTTGGCTAGTCCCTTCAAAATTGTATTTCTCGGGTAAAATTATTTCTATAAATGTATCACTTGCTTTTTGAAATACTACTACTCTGGCTTACTTATTCTAAACTCACCTAACTCAAGCTTAACAATGTGCTTCCTTATTCTAATATTTCAAAATTTGGTAAAAAAAATTCATCATATCTATGACTTTCATCAGTTTATAAAATTTGTTCACATAAAAAGAAACCAATTTAGTACTTTCTCATACATAAATCCTTTTTCTTAGGTCATTTGATGAAAGGTGCTCACTTTCAAAATTCTATTGAACATAATTTAATCTTTTTTGGATGATTTACGATGTCACTTTGGAATATTAACAATGGCTCAGTCATTTTTGTCAATAGCTGTGGGTACAGGATGCAGAATGCATTACAATTGGATTGGATTAAATTGATGGCAGAACTGGGTCATTCCCCAAATGTTACTTTCTTAAATGTAGCAGTCTTTTATCTGTCATTTTTTCTTTCACTCTAAATTTAAAAAAAAAAAATGTACAAATCATGCTCTGGTTAATTTAGATTTATAATAAATTAGAATTCACCATGCACACATGAATGAAAAGCATATAGTTATATTTTTATATTTCATACATTTTTAAACTAATTCTGTAACAAGTATAAAGCTAAGTAAAGTACTTACATTAGCTGCACCAAGAAGTATTAAGGTAGGCCCAAGACCTATTGTGTATATTGATCTGAGCATTATTGATACAAGAAACGGCCGAATACCCACAGGCTTGGAGAAGAAAAACAGCATAGATGTGCAGATCGCAACTGCTATCCAAAGAAGAACCGAGAACAATGGAGAAAGTGTACCTGTAAAATGTGGAAAAAATGTATTGTTATTAAGAATAAAACTAAAAAATGCTAAAATATTTGCTGCTCTACTTTATATGCTATCATTAAGTCAAAGCCATAATCCACTAAATTTCAAAATGACCCCATCTACATTCTTCATATTTCAAGGAAATCTCTTTGAACACGTTACTCATTATTACATTTCCAGAAAACCTGTGATTACTTTCAAGCTACTTAAACACTCACTAATGTTCCTTTTATTAAGTCAGACAATTGTTCATCTTTCTCTCATATGAGGATGATTCTCTAAATAGTTTTGATAGACATCTCTCTCAGGAACCTTAATTCAAAATTTATGATTAATGACCATTAGTTATATAGCTAAATCATTAAAAAATTGAATTCATACCTTGCTTTGTCCTATTAGTATCAAGTTTCCATATTCTAGATTCCTCTGAAGAATGTAGTAGAATAACCTTTATAAAATAGACACACACTTTAACTGCTAAACACACATGCATAGATATGTGTATGAATATGCGCAAGAGTGTGTGTATTTGAAGGCCAGCTCAACTTCTAAATAAAATGGTTAGCTATTTAATCATCAGAAAATTCACATTCCAAATGTCTTAAAAAACAAACTCCGTTACACATAAGATTTCTTAGAAACTCCCCAAAAGAGAGGCTCAAAAATATTCTTTCTTTAATAAGTAGTACAATTCATTGACATTTGCACTGACATGTGCATTCAAGGAATCCTTTCCTGAAGGTCACGTGGTGCTGCATTTGCAGAAGTAAATTAAGAGGCAACATTCTTGGGCTGATTGGATCTGCTCTGGGGCCTCAAATGCATGTCTATAGGCTGACATAGAAAGGAAACAACAAAATGGAGATTTTCCACTACGTCCTCTGGTAAATATTCAGTAACAGCCATATTCTTTTGGCCACACCTCTTATCTTTATTTATAAAATTTGCTACTGCATGCAAAACACTTCAAGGACTTGGTGTGCATAGCTTTTGTACTGTCATCAAAACTCTGGGATTATTCGACTCCTTTAATGAATTCTGTATAAAACTCTTAGTTTACAGTGTGTGCTAACATCTCAGAAATAGGCAGGAAGATCCTGCTAGTTGTTAAAAGACAAACAAAAAATCAGATAATGAACAGCATTCATTTAGACATGTTTACTTTTGCAAGGTTTGTTCTTATGCTGTCTCTGAAAGCACATAATGATGAAAGGAGGTTGGGAAGAGAGATGTGATATCCCCCCCCCACCAAATTTATAATCTCATAAGATTAATTTGGAGATGGGGAAAGAAAAAGGGTAAACTGCTCTGAAAGTTACCTTCAATTCCTGTACTCTGGCAATGCTAACATACAGGTACCCTACTCGCGTTTACGATGATGTTGGCTTGTAAGCACTCTACATCTACCAAAATACAGACTGACCACCAACTGCCTTGACCTCACAGATCTCAAACAGCCATAGAGTAAATAATGCCTTCAACTTTCTCTCTTGCTTACTGGGACTTGAGACTCCATCAGAATGTAAACTCTAAAAGGATGAGGGCCATCCCTAGGCCTATCGCCATGCCTGTTACAGAACAACAAATAAAAATTTGTTGATTGAGTAAATAAACAAAAATATATTCTGTGAGTTTGTTTTGAATAAATAACTAAGTCTCCAGTTATCAACTCCCCAAGTCACATAGCTTAGGTTTTAAGTTCACTAGAACTGACAACATCTTCAAGGCACATTTACATCTGACTTTTCAGCATAATTCATAAGCAATGTCTTGGTGACATTCTTATTCTAGAATAATTTGGCATAGATAGTCACATTGTGCATTGTCACTAATTCCTGATAAACTATCTACCTCTTTACTATTCTTTTCAAGACAATATCTGGTTTGCTGAGATTTCCCCTTGATCAAACAGAAATTATAGTCATACAATTAAAATTGGGTGTTTGATCCCTTTGTGAAAAGGACTCAAAGAATGTCTAGTATAGTAGCTAGCACATAAGTTCACACTAAATATGTATTTGAATGAATAAACTCAAAAGTTATTTAAAACAGCTATTGACGGGCCAGGCGCGGTGGCTCAAGCCTGTAATCCCAGCACTTTGGGAGGCCGAGACGGGCGGATCACGAGGTCAGGAGATGGAGACCATCCTGGCTAACACGGTGAAACCCCGTCTCTACTAAAAATACAAAAAACTAGCGGGGCGAGGTGGCGGGCGCCTGTAGTCCCAGCTACTCGGGAGGCTGAGGCAGGAGAATGGCGTAAACCCGGGAGGCGGAGTTTGCAGTGAGCTGAGATCGCCCACTGCACTCCAGCCTGGGCGACAAAGCGAGACTCCGTCTCAAAAAAAAAACAAAAAACAAAAACAACAGCTATGTTTATAATTCTCTTCTCTAAGAATGATCATATTGGTTTCTATCTGAAGATTCAATGCTAAAAAGAGAAGTGAAGTCTCTCTGACAAACTCTAGAGAAGACAGTGCAGATTTTCTTTGAGTCTTGCACAAAGTCTTGCTCGCCTGGCTAAATTTTGTATTTTCAGTAGAGTTGGGGTTTCACCCTGTTGGCCAGGCTGGTCTCAAACTCCTGACCTCGGGTGATCTGCCTGCCCTGGCCTCCCAAAGTGCTGGGATTACAAGCATAAGCCACCTCGCCCAGCCGACAGTACAGATTTTCAAAGCCATTCTTTTCCCATTTCTCTCCTTAATACTCTATATATGTATCCATTTTCTATAATAAGCATGATATTATTTTAATAATACAAAAAGTTTTATAATTTACCCTATACATTTATAAATCTTAGAAAGTATGAAGTTTATCCTTTATGAAAGAAAATCCAGAAAGCAAAATTGCAAGCTTCAATCCAGTTCACATCATGCAGACTCTATAATTTCCTGTACAGAACATGCTGCTTCTTAATTCCCTGTTTCTCTCCATCCCTCTGCCTCCCAAGTAGCCTTATGAGATCTTTCTGTTTCCTCTACCTCAGTCCAGCTAAAGTAGATATCCACTCAGAAATCCCTGGGTGGCCTTTACTATTGTGCCTTATTCATTTCTTGGTCCCTTAACTAGACTGTGAACTCTTTGAGGACAAGGACAAGTTTACTAATCTTTGTATTTTACAATCTTTGTATTTAACAGTGCCTGGCACATAGTGGCACTCCATCAACAGTTAAGTTGAAGGAATTGAAATCACCATGAAGAACTCATTTTCTTTAACACAAAACACTTGATGGAAAAAAATAATTACAATACAAATTTTAATATAATTTTTAAAAATCACATGCTATCTTGGTATAAGGAATTCCCATGGCATCAATTTTCTCCACTAACTAGTCTGCCTTTGCCAAATGAAATCCAGGATAGGGGTATCTGGCGTGGCAGCCATCAGCTTCTGAGTGGACTCCCAGGACATTCCCAGCACCAGAAGCTGCTGCTTCAGCCACAACCAGTGTAGCCTCATTCCTCAACATTGGCACTTTTCCTTTTTAGAGAAGCATATGATAAACAAACAAACGCCACAAAAATCAATCAGCCAAAGAAACCCAACCCAAAACCTTTAGCCATAAAAAATAGGCCCTGTACTCCTGAACAAATTGAAACCAAACTCTTCAAAGCCTGGCAATTAAAGGAGATTCTCTATCTGCAGTAGAGGGTGAAGAGTGTCCAACAGGCTGGTCCTCTGAGAATTATCTCTGCCTTAAATGTCTCCTTTTGGTTACTGTACCCCACTACCTGGTTGAGGAGGGAAACTACTCTCTCAGTTAATATCATAACCCAAGTGTGAATCAATTATTTGAACACAAGAAACTCCTAGCAGTTCAGGTGTTCAGACTGGAAAATATACTTGGAGGAAGCATACACGGCTCCTTCCCTCTGCCAATCCCTCTGTTCTCACCACCACATTGGTACCAGCATGTATTAGGATCTGGGGTTAGAAGGGTGGCATATTTTAAGCAGAGTTCTTTTTTTGTAGTGCAAGACTTATCAGCTGATTTCATAATCAGCTTCTACACCGAGTCAAGGAACTTCAGGGTTGGACAGAATCCTTACATTTATTATTATTTTTTCTTTTTTAACTTTATCCTTTACCTAGATTCCCCAAATGTCAACACCTCATATAACCACATTACAATGATCAGTATCAGGAAATTAACATTGATAGACCACTTTTACCATCTATCTAGTCAAAGTTGGTCATTTGCCCAATTTATGACCTTCTTCTGAACCAGGGTCACACACGGGATTCAGTTGTCATGTCTCTTTAATATCTTTTAATTTGGATAGTTCCTCAGTCTTTCTTTGTCTTTCATAAGCTTGACACCTTGAAGAGTACTGGCCAATTATGTCGTAGCATAGCCCTCATTTGGGGTTTGTCTGAAATTTTCTCAGTTAATTCATTTTTGGAAGATGATGTTACATCCTTGTCAGTGATTGTATCAGGAGGCACGTGATGTTGCTGGGTTTCATTACTGGTGCCATTAATGCTGATCACTTAGTTAAAGCGATTTCCCCCACTTTAAAGTTATTATTTTTCCTTTCATAATTAAGTATATTGTGGGGAGAGACTTGTACATTATACATAGGTTATATACTTTTCATCATATGGTCACCCATTAATTTTAGCATCCATGGATAATTTTTACTACTGTGATGTTTGCCAAATGGTGACATTCTATTTCCATCATTCTGTCTGTATTTTATTAATTGGAATACAATTATTAAAAAAGAGCTTTCTCTTTCCACTATCAACAGGAACTCCTGGATTCTTATTTTATGCTATGGGAGATAATGTGTCACTGTCAATAATCTTTTTCTCTAAATTTTCTCATATTTGACCACCTGGAGACCTTTTAAGTTGGATCCTGGGTTCTCTGACATGTCTCCATCATTTTTAAGCACTTCTTGAAGGAATTTTCATCCATCTTTAATCTCACCCATCTCTAAATCACTTCATAGTGGCCCTGGCAAACAGTTGTTCAGCCTGTTAGACCAAATCCAGCATCAGAAAACCTTCACCACCAGCACAGAGCTTTCTTCCTCCAGACAATTCTGATGGCCAAGTGTGTGTAACAGTCTTAGCTCTGTTTCCTCAGAATTCATAGCTATGCAGTGTGCAACAGATTAAGACTAAGCTAATCCTGACCAAAATGTTAACTTTATTCATGGAGCTCATTAAATTAAATAACTCATCCAGAACTATAACCAGATGACCCAGACATAACCTTGGGGTTTGACATTGCCAAAATGGCAGCTCATGCCTTCCCTTCCCTCAAAGCACCACATCCACTTAAATATCCTAAGCTGAGGCTCTACCTTGGTTACTGCTGTTAACTGCTGTCTAGTCCTTTTCCAGAAGTAAAGTCTGCATCTGCACCTGATGATAGCACACCATGACTTCCAGCGTTGCGTTTGTTAGTCCTATTTCCGGGACTAACAAACTTATACCTCCCATAACTAGGAGAAAATTGATGCCATGGGAATGTCTTATACCAAGATAGCATGTGATTTTTTAAAATTATATTAAAATTTGTAGTGTAATTCTTTCTTTCTGCCAAGTGCTTTGTGTTAAAGAAAATGAGTTCTTCTTTTTCAATTTCAATTCCTTCAAATTGAAATTTGGTGATTTCAATTCCTTCAACAACTGTTGATGGAGTGCCACTATGTGCCAGGCACTGTTAAATACAAAGATTTTACCATCTTTGTATTTTAAAAATTACAAAGATTAGTAAACTTGTCCTTGTCCTCAAAGAGTTCACAGTCTAGTTAAGGGACCAAGAAATGAATAAGGCACAATAGTAAAGGCCACCCAGGGATTTCTGAGTGGATATCTACTTTAGCTGGACTGAAGTAGAGGAAACAGAAAGATCTCATAAGGCTACTTGGGAGGCAGAGGGATGGAGAGAAACAGGGAAGTAAGAAGCAGCATGTTCTGTGCAGGAAACTATAGAGTCTGCATGAGGTAGATAGCAGAGCTCCATGATGTGAACTGGATTGAAGTTTGCAATTTTGCTTTCTGGATTTTCTTTCATAAAAGATAAACTTCATACTTTCTAAGATTTAAAAATATATAGGGTAAATTTAAAAACATTTGTATTATTAAAATAATATGTTTATTATAGAAAATGGATAAATGTATAAAGTGTTAAGGAGAGAAAATGCTCCTCCCGACCCACCATTAATGGGTAAAGAATGTCTTTGAAAATCTGTTATTTCAAGTCCTTTTTCAAGGACCAGTTGCACCAGCAATACCTGGTGAGCTTATTTAAAAATACATATTTTTGAACTCTAATTACAAGGCAAATCTTCAACCTCAGTTTCTTCATCCATAAAAATATTCTTCATCCATAAGGATATTCTTCCTTCATAAGAATACAGATTTGTCAGGAAGATTAAGTGAAATGCATGCGAAGTGCTTAGCATTTTCCCTGACCCAGTCTAAGTGGTGAACAACCTCCGCTGCTGTTATTATTATCAGTATTACTATTATAACTATTATTGGCCAGGCAAGTGTTACAAATACCATGTGTTCTGCTTCTCCTGAATGAGTAAAGAGCAACTGCCCAGAGGGGTTCCCATCACTCTTATATTTCATGTACAATAGGTGGCAGCAGAGCCTACATACATTGGCTCCAGTGGTCAAGAAAGGGAGATCATGGAATGGAACTCAAGGGAAATTAGGTCCTGTATGAAGAAGGGGCGCCTGTTAATGACATGCTTCCAATCCATGGAGAAAGATCCTAGATTGGACACAAAAGGGTTAGCCTTCTACTCTAAGATCTGCCATTCTTTAGGCTTTCTGGACTTCCATCTGTTCATCTGTCAAATGAGTGCTTGATATTAGATGATTTCCAGAATTGCTTCCTTTTTTAAGACTTTATGCTTCTACTAACTGGGACTCTATAATCTTGCTCGCATTCTGTGTGCAGATGATATTGATTTATCATTTCATGCTGGACTTCTTTCCTCCCAAGAGTTATATTCCTCTATGCTAAGAGTTTATCACTAAAGGAGACTAAACATAGTGAAGAGAAAGCCATTTTTACTTCCTGGTGAATGTGCAGTTGCTCTATAATGGATGGCCAAATATGTGTTACATTTTCACTGCTATTTAACTCACACATCCACTCCATTGCTTAATATTCTTCTTTTATTCTGGGTATGCCTTCCAAAAACAGTGGTTATTCATGACTACTCAGATTACAGCTAAAGTTTAGAACTTTGATATCTATGTTACCTGTAATGAATCTGTAAAAGAGCAAATGACTTTCGGACTCCCATTTCCTTTCCTGCCCACCCCCAGTTCATCTGAAATAGGCTGAAATACCTGTTGCTCTTATCATACTCTCTTTCCACGAGGCTTCCTTCTGTAGTACAAATATGTACCTTTTAAACAGAAACCACCACCATTGAACTTTATTGAAAGTTTATCAGGTACTATTCTAAATGCTTTACCTACAGCATCTCATTAAATTCTCACAGTAATCCCATGAAATGATGAGACGCAAAAGCACTGCATTGTTATTATTAGCTGATTTCTCCATCTTTTCTTCCAAGCCATTCTTTCCATGTCCATTCCAAAGTTATTTACCAGACTGTAGCCCAAACCTGTAACATACTTCCCATGCTCTCCACCAAACTTACACAAAACTTACTTCCCAAAGTCTCACGATTCAGTATATTTCTCTTATATTTCTAATTTCACCTAAAATGGTATACTTTCTCATTTTTGTTTCTGTATTATTAGTTTAATAATATTAGTTTCATATTCAGTACCCTTTATTTCCTATTATTGTCTTTTCATATGCTGTTCACTTTTGAAACCTCAGATGACAAACATTTAATTATCTTAAGAATCCCTGACTTTAGTATAGAATTAAAAATTATTTCTAGATTACATGTATGCTCACTAGAGAAACTTTAGACAACACAGAAAACAAAGAGAGTAAAATATAAATGCCAGTATTTAGATAACAATAATTAATATTTGGGCACAGAGCTGTCATTTGCATAATTGAGATGATACAGTATAAAAATGTTTGGAGTCGTAACAATTAGGTAGAAATGACAAATCTTTTCATTGCTTTATTTGCCAAGATATAATATAGCTCTAATAACAATTGTGTATACGAGCTTTTTAAAAAATAACAATACTATTGACCACACTTTTCTGCCTATTCTATTTACTATCATAATCTACTTCCAACAAGTATAGAAAAATCCATTTAACAGGAATGAAACTATTCTTATTTTGAAGCTCTAAATAGTTAAGTGGAAACTTTAAAATATTTATCTTTTAAGGAAAAACGAGCACTTGCCTTCATCTCCATCATCCCCGAATGGGTAGAAGAGAGCAACAGCTAAATTGATGAACACAGCCAGGTTGAAGGAAATGCTCCCCCAGAGAGAGATGTGCCTCGAGAACCAGAACAGTGCAGGGTTATCTAGGAAATGAGAGGCGCAAAGGAACAGAACAGAAAAATAAATTTTGGTTTCAACACATGAGGCTTACCAAAACAATATTTTACTAAATGCATCATTTTTGTAAACTATTATAAAAACCTATTTAAATAAATATTTGACTTGAGTAAGTTTATTAAAAACAATCAGAACCATAAAGGAGTGAAATTTGATTCCTTTTTTCATCCTTCAGCCAGTTTAGGCCTAAACTACTGCAGAAGGGCGAGGAGTTTTGCAATCGCTAAAGGTGGTCAGAAAAGGTGATTCTGTAATAATTCTCTGTAATCTATCTGCAGAGCAGTTTAGCAGTTGCCTGGGGTCCCTTTTAATGAAATGATATACTTCATTGTATAATTTGGTAGTATTGATAAATTGGTCCCACTCCCATGCCTTAAAGTCAAATAAAAAAAACTCCAAACCCATAGCACAGATATATTTCTAATGAAAATTCCTATGACACAGTCACAGTTAGCTGAAACTATGAAACCTAATCATGAGACATAGTACTCCTGACAGGGAACTAGTGATTTATAATATTATCTACATTTTAAACCTTAAATCTTCCTAAGAACTTGTTGGGTTTGAAACAGCAGAAGAAAATGAGCACTACGATAGAAACTGCTAATAAGTGGAACAGGCTTTGCTGAATATATTCAACAAAGGACTCTGTGTCTGTCATCAGATCATCAGAAATGAATTACTAAATGCATCAATCGAATACAGTTTACATTAACCAAAAATCAGTTCTTTCCACCTCTGTTAAATAACTGAACAGATTTGTAATGCATGTAAGTTTGAATGAGAGCCAAACTTACTAGCCTGCCCTGGGCACTCACATGGCTCCTATAGGTCTTGTTCATTCTCTAACTTTTAAAAACTTAACACCAGGATTAAAAATTTTAAGTTAATCAAGGGGGAAAGGCACATTGATTTTCAAATGGAAATGATAAACTTTGTAGATAAATCCTGTGAATTTCAACCTAGTGCCTATTGCCTACTTACAAACTGTACTTCTCTTCAGTACATCTTGTTTTCCTTCTCTTGGAAGGGAACATTCCAATGCTGAAATATGCTATGATTAGCTATGCCATTTAATTGACTAATGTACCATAAACTGTAAACATCTGCATCTCCATCATTCCTCAATTAGGAGTCCTCGTTTTTAAAGGTAGACTATTAAGACAAAATTAGAAGATGTTGATGCATGCATTTGTAATCACAAATCCTCACTATTGAATCCACCAAATGAATTAGATTCTGCCTATAGCCTCATAATAAGCTGCTCCCAAATTTTAAAGTAAAATGTACATTGAAAATTATTTTAAGAATTAATTTTTGGTAAATGACAAAATACTTATTTTTTTTAAAAGCACAGATCCCCCCAAAGCACTAGTTCAGTATTCACTTTATTGTCAAGGAGAAAATATATGTGTTTTTTGTTTTGTTTTGTTTTTTGTTTGTTTGTTTGTTTTACTGAGACAGAGTCTCGCTCTGTTGCCCAGGCTGGAGTGCAGTGGTGCAATCTTGGCTCACTGCAACCTCTGCCTCCTGGTTTCAAACGATTCTTCTGCCTCAGCCCCCCAAGTAGCTGGGACTACAGGAGCATGGCACCACGCCCGGTTAATATTTTATATTTTTAGTAGAGATAGGTTTTCATTGTGTTAGCCAAGATGGTCTCAATCTCCTGACCTCATGATCTGCCTGCCTCGGCCTGGCAAAGTGTTGGGATTTACAGGCATGAGCCACCATGCCTGGCCAGAAAATGTATGTTTTTTAAATGCTCCAAATGAAATCGTGTCTTCATATGTATTTTAGACACCCAAAATTTTCACTGAATTCCATAAGGCTCTACATGGTAAATTGCTAAGGGAGAATAATTTTGATTTTTTAAAAAAACATTCTGTTTTAAAAGCCTAAAAATGCATACCACACCCCTATACCTAAAGATATTTCTCAAGCACCACTCGAATTCATAAATCATACCTACTAAAGTTCCTGAAAACTAGCATAATGAAATACTGTTGAATAGAAGTATTGAGAACATATCCTGTTTGTCTAGAAAACTCCAAGGGACTGAAAAAGACCTACTCAAGAGTTTCCCCCACTGACTTTTGTGAAAAACTCATGAGATCCCTTATCTTGGAAAATAAACTAAAGTTTATTTAAAAATTCTAAAATTTTAAATTTTAAAAGTCAGTGTTTCCTAATAGACTTGGGACCTAAGAGATACGTCATGGGAACTGTACTAAACTGATTTTTTAACTGGAATATTATAACATTGCTCTATTTAAATACAAGTGTCATGACATGTACAGCTTGTTTGGTGAGGGGAGGTAAAGATATGTTCAAAGAAAGACTTACTCTCAGCAAAACATGAAACAATCCCCTTAATCTCAGGACAATAGAGGAAGAGTGTGCAGGAGCTGATGTCTCTCAATCCTATTCACTGATAGGCCAGTCAGGGCCCACTCACGGGCTTCAAACCTGCAGCTGTTCAACATTTGAAAATGTACAGCTGCAACCCTGCATTTCATAATATTTATTTAAAAAATGGGATCATCATGAAGAGTTGATGTAATTAGTTAGGGCTTTCTGTTTTCCTTAAGCTGCAGGTGTCTTGGCTCCAGTGGTAGACTAAGCGGACACCCTTAAGCCTGAAAGTGATTTCAGTATGTCAGACTGGCAAGAAATTAAAAAACAATTTAAATGAGCTGCATCATGTGTCCCAAAGTACCAAATTATCTACCACTGCTCACAAAACTAACCATTTCAGTTTACTGTACTTACTCCTGATTTTCTTTTGCCACTTCATTTCATTGTAGAGATCTTCTGTTTGCTGGAAAAAGTCATTCACTTTACTTCCTTGTTCATCCCTTTCAGTTGTATTGAACACACGGCACTTGGATTCTCGAGTGAGGTATTCACATATATTGGGGACAGGAAAAACTATTTGTTCCATGGTCCTATCATGCCGGACAATCTGAAAACATTAATTTGCATTGTTTTTAGCCTTTTGGACACCTCAGCCTTAGACTTGCTTTTGTTTTTAAAATGAGTTTGAAGATGATGTTTTATGAACTCAGTTGTGAAAAAATATGCCAACTTGAAATATCTGAAAGAACACTTTTTACTATACTACTTTGCATTTTTCTCTTAAAAAAGAGAAATTAATTGACTAATATATGAAAAACACTATACTTTGTTTAAAATAACAAAAACTAAAAACCTTTTATCCTTTCTGGGTTAGCATTATACTTCTGCCACCCATTTTTATTTTTGTGAAGTACATCCTAAAACGAAGACAGTCTTAATTAGAAAGTGACTGGCTGGGTAGGCTTAAATATAGCATTTATACTATTTGTATCTTGTTCTTAGCCTCTTTGTCCTAAAAGGGGCTTTCGGGTAACAAATGACATATTCAACATTATGTGTCTGAACTCTACAGAGAAAAGTGCTTTATATCATTAAAATGTTCTCTTACTCATGGCAAAACATATTTTTGTAGGTACAACATCCATGTAAACATATACCCATATTTAAATACTCATAATTTTGAGCCTCCCTTATTTGTTATTTGTGACTGTTTAACTTTAGACTAAAAAAAAAAAAGAAAAAAAGGCTGATTATTTTCATACAGCTTTACTATGTAACAAGGGTTCATGAAGCCTAAATTTCAAGGTTCACATTTACGTACAGTGCCCAGTTCTCAGGAGTGAATAAGGATTGTCTTAACCCAAAAGAGTAATTCTGTTCCCTTTGCTACTGACTGGTGTCGTGGTGGTCATGAGCTGTACCTCTAGAAAGTGAGGCATAAAGAGAAATCTCCCGAAAGGGCTTCCAGGAGAGATTTTGCTTGTTGGTAAAGGCAGAGAGCCATAAGAGACACACAAAACAACAACAGCAACAACAACAACAAAAACAAAAATGAAAACCAAATACACAAAAACAAAGTTTTTTGTTTGTTTGTTTTTGTTTCTTTGGTTTGCCTGTATCATCTTTCTTCTTGCTTAGAACAAAAGGGTCTAAGGGCATGATGCTTGGAACTCTAGCAGCCATTTTGCAACCATGAGGTGAGATAGCATCAGCATGATAAGGAACCTAGTATAAATATATGAAGAGTTTGCATATTTTAAGACATCACTGAGTCACTGAATCAATTATAGAACTGCTGGTACTCCAGACTTCCCATCAGATAAAATTTTACTGTCTAAACAATTGTCAGTGTGGTATTCTATTAAACTTGTAACTGAAGGTATCCTAAATGATATGTGATATATTCAATTACATACTAGAATACTGTCATAAAGCAAACTACATGAAATTTAGTAAGGTAAATGAAAATTCCTGGATATAGGTTACTAAAATCAATTGTACAAAATAATTGGACACATTTGGTATGACAGGCAACCATATGGGGAAAAAAGGTTTACTTGATCCAATAGTGTCAAATATTATTTTAAAAATCTCAGGGTGCATCAAAGAAATCATGTCTAGATTATTATAAGCCAAGTTCTTCAGTCCTTTTATGAAATGTTACGTTTGATTACAGTTGCCACATTTTGCAAACAGCATGGACAAACTGGAGGGATTACTGAAGGAAATGGAGGTGTGTTAACTGCAAAAAACCAGAGATGGATAATTTTTCAATACATTTATTCAACAAATGCTTATTCAGTCTTTAGGTGAGGCATGTTGGAGAAAAAACAACACGAACCCCAATGGGTAAGAGCTTGTAGTTTAGTAATCATGATGGCTCTTCAGATGTTAGAATCAAGCTATCATGTTGAGGGGGAAAAATGTTCTGAAAGTAAATATTAAAATGGGCTAATGTTAATTCTTTATTTTAAAAAAAAGTTTCTAATTATTAGAGTCATTCAAAATCAGATCAGTTTCCTTGTGATGTAGTGAGAACTCTATGGCAGGAAGAATTTAAAGCAGAAGCAGATTATTACAGGGCAATATCTTCTTAGATGGGTGATTAGACACGAGGCTCTTCCCATTTCCCAGGGTCTTTAAGTCTATAACTTGCAGACAAACTATTATTCTCAATAACATGAATTGTTGTGGTTACGTTCAAGGCACAGGGTTCAGTTTTGGAAATACAAAGATGACCAAGACCAGTCCCTGCCTCAAGTAAAGGAGAAGTGACATATATGAAGCTAGTAATATTCCAATGTGATAAATATTAAACTAACAGAATAACCAAACTGCTGTGGAAGCATACACAGTGAGATGAAATTAATGAATGCCTGGAGAAGGGAGGAAGGCCTCTCTGAGTAGGTCATGTGAGCTGGCTTTGGGTGAACATGAGAACTGATCAATGAGTTCATCAGCCTGGACCACTCCTTTGAAACCTGGACTTGTATATCGAACTCCATGGATGACTGAAAGTCACCTCGAATTCAATCTATCCAATAATGAACAAATAATCTTCTTCTACCTTTTAGCTACCAAACTTCACTCTCTCCTAGCATTCTCATACATGGCACCAACTTTTGCTCATTTATTCAAATGAGTAGCCCGAGGACATCCTTTTGCACACCATTCTCCTAACAAGTGCAATTCAACTTCAAGCCCTGTCAATATGTATATGTATATGTGTGTATTTACTATATATATATCACTATATATAGATGTACATGCATGTATCTATATATATGTATTTTCCAGTCCACCCATCTTTGATATCATCATCTCTCACATTTACCATTATAATATCTTTCTATCTGATCTATGTGTGTTTTCGATCCCACTCTCTTTTCCAGTCTTGTCTCCAAACAGCAACCAGATTGATCTTTTGAAAATAGTCATCTCCTTCCTGTGTTTTTTACCTTCCCTTCACTTACTTTCTTCCTTCTGAAATCCCCTTTCTGAAGGAGAAACTCATACTCAATCTTTAATACATTCTTAAAGGTAACTTCTCAGTGAAATCTATCCTGAAATTGCTCAGGCACCACTAATTATTATTTTCTCTTCATTTCCTTGGCCCTTTGTTTATATACTTATGACACAGAATGATCTTCTATATGTGTGAACTGGTAGAGAGTAAGTGCTCAGTAAATATTTACTGAATGTGTGTATTTATAGCTAAATCTCTCCTCACTGCTGGAATCAATAAAACAATATCAAACAACAGCTCCCGTCTCTCACAGACATTAACCAAACTTCTCTCCATGGCCTGCTCACTCTATTTCCTACTCCCTGGTCTCTTCTGATCTCCTAGCTTGGTACTTTGACTTCTGGGATCTTCTTTAAGAACTTCATGGTTTGATGACCTATTTCTACTTGTACAGAAATATTTTTCCTGCTAGTCCAGCTCATGGGTTCCACTAAGTCAAGTCCAACACCAAAGTTGTGGTACTATTAATGTTTACAAATGTGAGCAAGGTATCCACTTCTGTGACACAAAGGTTCGGCAACAGTAAACAATACAGTGTAGGGGTTATATATCCCGAGAGTGAACACAGTGATGCCCATTATGCACTCTGCTGAAAAGTAAAAAATATCTGCCAAAATGAATGAATGTATAAACGTAAATTATAGGAGTGACAAGCATCAACTACTCTGCTCACTTCTGCCTGATTAGCTCTGCCAGCCAGTGTCAAAATGATACCATAGCTAGTAAATGTCAGCCAGATGGGTCTCAGAACACATAATGACAAGTCCATTTTGACCCACCCCTCCTGAACTGCCACCAACCATTAAATAATGTCTCATTTATGAGGGTCGGGGGAGGTCAATTGCTGCATACTGAAAATGGAAACTGTTAAACCTTTCCAAGGCTATGGTATCAATATGAAAACTGTATTAGTTTCTTTCATGTTTACTCCACCTGTGAATTGTTGAAGATCTCTATTTTAATAAGCCTTCCACAATTTTAAAAAAGAAACCTTTTCCTGAATGAAGGCTTCTATTATAATAATCGCATCTCTCAAACACTATTGCTCTGCAATGATTAATTGCTTCTATGGCTAAAAAAATCTATTAATTACAAAAGAAATTTTACATATAGTCTTAGTAAAAAGACAACTTTGAAAGATGTATACCTCATTTTCCTATACATCACTCCTCACTCATCCTTTTACTATACATTTTTCAGTTTAAACCACTCAATTCTGCATCATTGCTCTAGAAAAAAATATGAAAATGGTCTAAAATAGAAAGTAAGCATAACTTTTCACAGTTGGTCCCTTTCAATAAATAATAGATGGTTACCTCAATCTGTGCAGTGTGGTTGGCATAATACTTTAAGGCTTCATCTCCTTCATCTGGATCCGATCCTGGTTTGAGCATCTGCTGCAACAGTTTATTGTGGCGGGCCAACTAGAGCGGGGAAAAGATAAAGGTTTTAGGTCCTTTTTTACCCTTTCCTGGGGTCGAACTTTGAAATAACTTTGTCTACTTGTACACATAGCTTCACAGTCCTAGGGTTAAGGACAATTAGTTACACTTCAGGAAAGCATGTCTGTATTTGAAAGGCAGAGATAATGAAATCACAATGATCAGCCATTAATATTTGTTGATTAACTCTATGTCTTCAGTAAATATATGATTGTAACAGGAAGAAGAAATGTTCTCAGTGATACGTAATTGATACTGTCTATAGTAAATTTAAACTACATACACATAAAAACAAAGTGATCAACAGTGCAATAAATCAGTGAGTAGTGGGGACAATATAAATGTGTGTTTTTCCTACACACACATAAATAGGTATCTGTATTTCAGAAGAGTTTCTCTTATAGCATGTAATCTAAGCTCTACATTAGTAGTTGGTATAAAGTCCTATGTTTCTGCACGTTTGTAAGCCAAAATTAGTGCTTTCTGGGTATAGATCTTGATTTTATTGTCATTGAAATTGGGCATTTAAAAAAGCAAAAATTTCACCATAAATTATTTTAAACTGTTGGTGGTGGAAGTCATCTTTCTCTCTCATTTGAATGTCTACAGCATTTGCTGGCTAGTTCTCTCACTGTGTACATTAGTAATACATGTTGCCTTCAGATGTCTCTTTTATGGTTGTCTCGAGCAATTCCTGAAATCTTGCAATGTCTTTCACTTATCAAATATCCTATTAATACTTAAATTTCCTGAGGGCTTCTACTAACAAAGACTCTACCACAGAACTCTCTCATTCCTAGCACAGTGCCTGCCTCCAACTCCATGCCAGGTACTAATTCTAAGTACTTCAAGTACATGATCTTACTTGAACCTACTAAGAAATTCAGTGGTAGGCACTCTTTATTATTGCCATTGACAGATGAGGAAACTGAAGCACGGAGAGTGTGAGGAACTTGTTTGTGATACCATAGCTAGAAAATGGTAGAGCCAGTATCTTATCAACATTATAGAGCGATAAGTTTTCCTATGATTCATGAGATCTTAATACAAACTGTGATTATAATCATGGAGATGAATTTTAAATAATAATTCAGAACCTAGAAAACCAAATGAACATTATCCTTATAAGTGATAATTTGGTAAGCTAAATATTCATTACACTGATGTTGCTCTAGAGCAAATCATTTTGAAAATTGTTATTTCAGAATTGGTTTTCAGGGTCATTAATCAATCACTCAAAAAAACCATTTCCTATTTTCTATTTATGTTTTTTTGAACTAAATTTGAATTATACACATTTTTATTACAAACCATAGTCATGAAACTTGTTGTGACTTATAGGGGTTTCTAAAAATCTCAATGAGTTTGAAAGCATAAAATTACTGTAATCATTTAGGTACCTCAGCATGTTTTAAGAAGTGGCCAGTTCTTGAAGGCAAAACTGGCATGATTTCTTTACTGATTGGATCTGGGGCATGAAAGAAAGAGAATTAAGGATGATTCCAAAGTTATTGACCTGAGCAATTAATAGTTTAGAAATGTCATTTACTAAGAAAAAATGTAGGAGGAGTACATTTAGCAGGATAAAATCAGGACTTTGTGGACATGTGAAGCTTTAGACGAGGAGTGGGCTATTGGATTTGTTTGCCATTTACTAAGAAAAAATGTAGGAGGAGTACATTTAGCAGGATAAAATCAGGACTTTGGTTGTGGACATGTGAAGCTTTAGATGAGGAGTGGGCTGTTGGATTTGTTTGTCAGGAATTCTGGGCAGAGGTCAGGGCTGGAGCTGTGCATGGAGGGGTCGTCAGTATATGGCTGATACTTAAAATCATGAGCCTTAGTGAGATCACCTAAAAGTGAGCTTAGACAGAGAAAGGAGCTCCATGGAACTCTAATATAGGTTAGTAAGAGAAAAGACACCAGCAAATTAGACTAAGAAAGTTGGTTAAGCAAGGTAGGAACAAAACCCCACGCAGCCAGGTGTATTGCAGCCAAGGGAAGAAATAATTTCAAGAGGGAGGGAGTGATTATCTGCGTTAAATGCGGCAGGTAAGTCCAACCAAATGAGGACAGGGAAATGTCATTTGGTTTAGCAACTCAGAAATCACTGAAAAGCTTCACAGCAGCAGTTTTAGGAAGTGGATACCAAAGCTTAATTGTAGTGAGTTTAAAAAAGAATGGGAGGCGAGGAGGTATATACAAGGAGAGTGAGTAGAAACAACTCTTGAGGACTGCAGGTGTGAGGGAGAGCCAAGAAATAGGATGGCAGGTAGATAAAAGGGCAGGGATAAAGGTGGATTTTTTAAATACGGAAAATAGAACATCGTGTTTGTTTGGTTTTGAAAGGGACTATTCACTAGAGCAACATCTTGACTAGGTGAGAGTGGAATGATCTAGAACATTTGTAAAGGGGTTTGCCTTAGATAGGAATAAATTTACCCTTAGAGACAGCAGGGAATATGGGCACAGATTCAGGAGGTTGGGTGGTTGTGATGATGGGAACACTGAGAAGTTCTTTTCTGGTTACTTTTTTTCTCAGTGCAGTAGGAAGCTGATAATGAGGACGAGAGAGGAGGTGTTGGATAACTGATGAAAAGCAGCTATAAAATAGCTAGTGAAAGTACATGGACTTGGAAATACAGTAGTACTGCCAGGAAGCCTTAACGGTCTCCCTTATGTTATGGTCAAAGGGAGGCCAGGAACCATATTTGTGTGTTTTTCTCCGGCAATATTCAGCTGCCTGGGTAAAGTCATGGAGTACAAAGAGAGTTGTAAATAATGAGATCTATAGTTTTGTTGGGTAAGGTCAACAACACATAGAAAAGAGATACTTAAATACTGGAACTCTTTAAATCTTACATAACTGATAGTCTCCCAAGGTGAGATAGTAATTTGAATAATTTCTCCTAAGTTTATTTATTAAAAGACTTTTACTTCTTTACGATCACTTCATAGGGTCAAAAATTGCTGCAGTTATTTTAAGAAACCAATAATGTTATTTAATGTAATAGTAAACAGATCTATACAAATCATTTTCAGTTAGTATATCCTGCTTAACAGAAACATTTGTGGGTCTTTCTTCCTCCTTTTGACTTAATGACATGATTCTGCATTTGTCTTGCTTTATTGCAGAGAAGAGGCGTTCTAAAAGGGACTCAAAAACAAACAAACAAACAAAAAAACACCCACCTAGGCCTCCCTTCACATGTTCAAAGTATTAGAACAGTATTTTCATTCATGATTAGATAAGCCATCTTTACATATCTTTGAAAATTTGAAATATATAATTGAAAAAGAACAATACAAACAAAACAGAGAAAACTTCACTTTTTTTCTGCCTGGAAATCTTTCATATTCTTTGTAATAGAGGGTCTTGACTAATGAGGCTTATTTACTCCTCCCTGTTCTGTGTTCTGATAGCGCCCTGCACATATCTATATTATGAAATTTCTCATATTGTATCTGAGTAACTATTATTTCTCTCCAGTGGTCCGTGACATCCTCAAATAAAGGGCCTGGTCTTACTCATCTCTTTGTTCTCGGCGCCAAAAACAGAACTTGATACATAAAATAGACTCAATAAATATTTGTTGAAATCAATGAAGAAATGGGCTAGTTAGTAACATATATTCATAAATTTAAAGTGGACAACAACTCTTAAGCCTCAGTGAATTATCTCTCTGTTTCATCCTCTGTAAAGAAGAAGGGCAAATAAATCTGATTAGAAATCAGACAATGGTACAAATTCTAGTATTTGTAGAAAGAAAATATTTTAATATTTTTTCTTGTTTGATAGTTATTTATGTACTCATATGTATTCCAATAGATTATAAGCTATTTGGAGGAAGGAAATAACCATTTTTAGTGGCATCCTTTATTATCCATTTCACATTTATCTTCTTACCATTGGGATTTTAATGTTCATTTCAGTTTGGGTCCAAGTAAGGACAAGGTAAAAAAAAATCAAGAAACTACACTTTGATGACATTCAATAATAATTATTTCTTAGTACTTTTCATCTGTGTTTTTTTAATGTGAGTTCCACTTTTATTGGGTACCCAATCAATGTTGAATGGAACCCTATATGATAAAGCAAGGATAGCATTCCTATTATATAGACAAAATGCAAAAGAATTAAGGAATATCTTGATGATTGTGAAATGCATAAAAATGACTGATATCAATACAGAGCTTTCCTGGTCCAAATTAACAGTTTACTGAAAGCACAATACAATGTCTTAGAAGCCAATTAACATATGCTCAATAGTTTTTAAAGGATTTAGTCCCCTATACATGCAATCTGATTTAAAATATTCTGTAGAATGAACGCACTGCCAACCAAAGATATTCGGTTGTCTTAGTGATGGACTCTTTAGCCACATTTGTCTAGTCCACACTTTTATATGCCACGTATCCTTTCATATGACTTAAAAAAAAAAAAAAGAAAAAAACCCCAGCATCCAAAGCAGCAATCACACCATTTACTATTATGTGCTTTCGAAACCAAAGGTAAAAATACCTGGTAAGTTTCTGCACAAGTATGGCACATCTGTGGAGAGTTGTAACAATAAGAAATCTAATTTAGAACCTAATTAAAAACTGAAAAACTGCTAATGAAGATATTCAAGGACTGCTGTCTTAACGATAGCCAACTTTACTATTGACAAAGATGCTCCCAACAGGACTTGAAATTAGCTGATGTCACTATACAAACATGTTCCAGAAAGCCAACCAACAATCAATATTAATGATAATGAGAGTCTGAATTTGCCATGGGGGGAAATCTCTGGGTCTTAGAAATACTTGTATTCCACAACAATCTTTATGAGCCAAAATGGTAGCAATTGTTTTATATATGGTGCGCAAATGATGCCCACCCAGTTAGTATGCAGTTTCAAAAGAATTTTAGCAACAAGGAACACTTATTAGGTCCTTATTACAAATAGAAAAACTAGGCCTGAGATAATTTATTACATATC